TTTTTTAAGTTAAGCCAAAATTTGTAGTCAGTAAGTAAGTTTCATTAAATTAAATATTTAAAACACACATGACAACAGCGCGTCGGTCTTTCATCACCCTTATCGAATCGGCAATCGATCGCAAACGGTAACAGTGGTTTTTGTTTGCGTGTTTATTTACAATGTTCTCGAATCAAGAGTTGGCCGACATGTTGTTAGTTTACGGTGAAGTTTGTCAGAATTCAAATCTTGCAGCTCAAATTTATTGCGGCAGATTTCGCCAACGGGTACACCCAGACAGAAGGACATTTGTGCAAGTGTACCAAAGACTTCGAGATACAGGAAGTGTTCAGCCCACTAATATTCGCACTCGTGAAAGATAGGTTACTGTAGAGCAGGAGGAACGAATTTTAAATATCGTGGAAATCAATGCAGATATCAGCACTCGGGAATTAGGCCGCCGCGGAGGACTATCGCATACCATAGTCGATAGAATCCAACGGGAAAACTTGTACCATGTACAATGAGTGCAGGCCTTGTTACCAGAAGACTATCCTTGCGGACTAACAATCTGTGAGTGGTTTTTGCCCAAAAACATTGAAAATCCAGATTTTTTTAAGAATATTTTAGCGATGGACGAATGTACTTTTACGCGAGACGGGATATTAAATTTCCATAATACTTACATGTGGGCCCAAGAAAATCCTCATACCATTCGTGAAGGTCATTTCCAACAACGTTTTAAAATAAATATTTGGGGGGTATTCTGTCGATCAGGTAATTGGCCCTTTCAAGTTACCCCCAAAGTTGTCACGAGAAGGATACCTTAGCTTTCTAACCAATAACCTACCAGAACTTTTGGAACAGGCCGTAGACAACATGCCATTACAACGGAGACAGAATTTGTGGTTTCTTCATGATTGGTCACTGCCTTACATTTTTAGAGGCGTCATTCAGTATTTGAATGAACATTATCCAAATCGCTGGATCGGTCGAAATGCTCGTGATCCTCGAAAATGGCCAGCAAGATCTCCTGAGCTCAATCCGATGGATTTCTGGTATTGGGGAGATGGTTTATGGGGCTGTTCCAATAACAACTGAAGCACAACTTCGCGAAAAAACTTCGAGGACCTAGAGTAAGAAGAAAACGTAATGAAGCTTGTGTGAAAAGTGGAGGACGATATTTTGAACACCTTCTTTAAATACAAAAAAGTGCAGTGTGGGCTTTAAGAAGAGTAATAATGTATGTATCAAAATTGTGTTCCCTAATTATAAGTGGATTTTTTAATACGTTCAATAAACTTTCACACACCAGGTTGAAGCGCTGAGACAGTTAGTGGTAAGTCCGTTGTTTTTGTTTGCATTTTATCGAGTACATTATCAAATAATGAAATAATACCTAAGAGCCAAAAATAACGAACTCCATCTTTATTTTCACTGCGTTTCGTCGTAATTTGCGTCTGGCATTGCGGCGTTGTCAGATTTTATTTTACTTTAAAGTCGCTTTTCTCTAATAAAATGCCGTTTTGACCCCCATGTTATATGAAACTTTTTGCTCCTTTTAACCCCCTCTATCACCCATTTAAATAATGACTATCATAACTACACTCTGTATACTTATGCCTAATAATGCTTCGGATTCAAGCTGAGGGAACATAATGGCACACGAGACTTTAGTGAGTGTCCCTAGACTATAATGGTATGGTTTTCTACCATTTGCTTCCTCGTAAAGGTGGTTAATGATAAAAATTACAAAATCGATATTAGTAAATACATAATAATAAAATATGTAGTTGGGATGACTTCAAGTTATACAATATGTATAGCTTTTCTAAATGTTAAAAAAGTGTCCAGCGGAAATCGAAGCGGGCGATTGGGAGAAGTGGATTCTGTACTTATCCATATACTGATTTTTGTTGCAGGATAGATATTTTGGTGCAGGAAATACTTAGATATGAGAAGAAAATTAATCGAGGATCCTACCATGTAAAAGTAAGGCACACCTCAACTCATTTGTGCTAATCTGCGAACCGATAATAGCAACCGCTGATACGCCCTCAGTAATGTCATGAAAAATGTTTAAAATTAGAGATCATTGATAAATGTTCTGTGGAGTCGATATGATATGTTTGTATGAAATGAAGTTATCAGGAAATTTGTAACATGTTTTCATCACTTTACCCAGTAGTCTGTGCAAACTGGATAATCTGAATCGCTTCGACTTATATGTTATTCATGTGTTTGTTAGCTATAACTAACTTAGAAGTATTGTTTGCTTCCTGAAGACGAATGTATACTAAGTGACATATAAATCCGAACACCCAGTTTAAATGGTTTTATTTTAATAAAATTTTGTTTAAGTACTTGATGAAGCATAATAAGTAAATGATAAAAATTTCAAAATGATTGCACTGCTTTAAAGCCCTTTGACCTTTAATAATGTGTGGATGCACCCTGATGTGCTACGCATTCTCCAACGCGCCTAGGCATGCTTCTGATCAGGTGGTCAATGTCCTCCTGTGGTATCTCATTCCAGGCAACCACCAACTCCTCTAGAAGTGCTTCTAGAGTCTGAGGAGGACGTTGCAAATTGAGCAATCTCCTGCCCATCATATCCCACACGTGCTCAATTGGGGATAAGTCGGGAGATCTTGGTGGCCATGGTAACAATTTAACATCATTATGTTGAAAGAAGTCTATTGTGACTCTTGCAACATGTGGTCGGGCATTATCTTGTTGGAAAGTTGGATCTGCCAGGGTGTCAAGATAGTGTTAAAGATGGGGTTCTAGAACTTCGTGGATATAACGCTGCGCGTTCATGTTACCTCTGATGAAGATTAAAGGTGACCTGGAACCATAAGCTATAGCACCCCAAACCATAACTCCAACAGTGTGATGAACATGTCTTTCAACAAAAAACTGTGGATTCCTCCTTTCACCACGTCGCCTTCTAACCCTGGCACGACCATCGTGCATGCCTAAACAAAATCGAGACTCGTCACTAAAGACAATACTGTTCCATTCCTGATCCCAGAGTGACCGTTGTCTGCACCACTCAAGGCGATTACGTCGGTGTTCTCGAGTTAAAGGGAGGACCCAGTGTGGCCGGTATGAAAACAAGCCAAAACTTCATTCGTCGGTAAACACTTCGCATGCCAATAGGTCTTCCGTGTTCTGCAAACCATTCATTTGCAATGGACCTGGTAGTGGAGAAACGGTCCTTTAAGGCCAATAATCTTAGGCGGCGATCTTCACGGTCTGTTGTTCTACGGCGGCGTCCAGTACCCCTTGCTCTTTGCGTACGGCCTTCTCGAAGCCATGCCTGACAACACCTAACCACAGTGTCTACACTTCTTTGCACTCTAACTGCAATTGCCCGAAAAGAAAGTTCAGCTTCCCGAAGTCCCACTATACGGCCCCTATCAAACTCACTAAGTTGACGAAATCGTACAGGTCTCCGTACTCTAGGCATCGTAACCGATCGTAAAGGATGTCAGGAACCAAAATCCGCCAACGTTGATTCTTTACTGCGGCTGAAATATTCATTTTTAGAGCGTTAGTGAATTAAAAAAAAAACAGTATAAAAACCGGAATGTCCAACTGATAAGGCTGAACATTTTTTCACTTGTTATTTACAGTAAGATAAATACATTCACCAACTTTTATTAAAATAAAACCATTTAAACTGGGTGTTCGGATTTATATGTCACTTAGTATATAATGAATCATTTCAGATATTTTCCTTAATTCAATACTTGTTATCAAAATTGTAATAATAGCACAATGCTCAAGATATACTCGACCCCAGTCTCCCCTACTACTTATTCGCGCGGAAGTATAATAATAATTTATATGCGTAGGGCGTTCAGTGAGTGGTTATTCCCAGTCAGGTGAAACGGTTTTCACGCTCGAGACAAGGTTTCAAAAACATCAATTAGCTTTTAAATAGACCGAAAAATAAAAATCAATACACCATACTATTTACGCCCGTATCGTCAGTCGTCCCTATAATTGTAGGGCGCCTTTATGGCCTCCTTGATTGTCATAGTTTTCTACTTCTCCGTGTCAGAACTCTATTTTGAGGTTATGTCACAAGCATCTATTTGCATCAAATTGTGCTTGCTTTTGAGTTATATCATGTTTTATCAGCCTGAAATTTCCTACAACTTAAAAAGAAAACATATCTTCACAATAGGAGAGCGCTGACGCTTACACGGGACAAGTGTAATCTAGAAATTTTTGAAGGAGAGAAAGGAGTATGACAATCAAGGAGGCCATAAACGCGCCCTACAGTTGTAGGGACGACTGACGATACGGGCCTTAGTCAACAATTGTAGGGCGCCTTTATGGCCTCCTTGATTGTCATAGTTTTCTGCTTCTCCGTGTCAGAACTCTATTTTGAGGTTATGTCACAAACATCTATTTGCATCAAATTGTGCTTGCTTTTGAGTTATATCATGTTTCATCAGCCTGAAATTTCCTACAATTTAAAAAGAAAACATATCTTCACAATAGGAGAGCGCTGACGCTGACACGGGACAAGTGTAATCTAGAAATTTTTGAAGGAGAGAAAGGAGGATGAACTCTATTTTGAGGTTATGTCACAAACATCTATTTGCATCAAATTGTGCTTGCTTTTGAGTTATATCATGTTTTATCAGCCTGAAATTTCCTACCATTTAAAAAGAAAACATATCTTTACAATAGGAGAACGCTGACGCTGACACGGGACAAGTGTAATCTAGAAATTTTTGAAGGAGAGAAAGCAGTATGACAATCAAGGAGGCCATAAACGCGCCCTACAATTGTAGGGACGACTGACGATACGGGCCTTAGTCAACGATAGTTGCGTCGTCGCCTAGCAACCAATAAATAATAAGTGTCCGTGGTAAAGTTACTATACCCCCTTGACGCGTACAGGACCCACGGGCGGGAAAGTGGCCCGAGAAACCTATACTTAAAGTAAACTTTCCGTCAGATCGTAGATAATAAAGATTTGTGAGCCGTTTCAGCATCCATACCTGCAGTTTATTTCGTTTCTGTACGGCTCCGGTGAACATGGCTGATTCTTCTTCCTGCTCTCTGGATCCACCATCCTGAACGACTCCAGGAACTCGTTCAGATCGACTTGCCCGTCTTTGTTCAGGTCCATCAGTCTGCAAATCTCCTCCAGTTGTTCGTGCGTCATTGGACAAGGCATGTGCTCTTTGATAAGGCTGCAAGCTTCGGTGAACTCATCCAAACTTATGTAACCTGCGTAGAAGAATTAAGATCTTAGATGGTAAATTAAGAAGCTTCACGAATATTAAGCTTAAAATCTTGCTTAATCACTATCACCGGGGTCTAGTATATCCGAGCCGCAGAGGTTTCTCGAAAATGGTGAATGATACGTCCAATATAGCATTTATCCATTTCTCATTGGTTCACCCACCATTTTTATAATAACCTAATTGCCCAATGAATTTGAAATGGGTTGCAATCTTCTGGTTGTTGGTAGACACCACTCTAACAGTGAACGTTGCGGATACGATTCAGGGAAAACCCAGAGTACAACAACTGCTCTAGCCAATGTCACTGATGATGTTATAAGAGGCCTTGATCAAGGAAATATCACTTGTTTAGTTCTGCTGGATTACACAAAAGCTTTCGATATGATAGACCCTGAAATTCTGCTACTTAAGCTGTCTTACTATGGTTTTACTGACGCTGCAGTCAATTTGATAACCTGCTATTTGTCAAATAGAAATCAAAGGGTCCTAACAAGTTCGAAAATGTCACAGTCAACTGCTATAAAGTTTGGTGTTCCTCAAGGTTCCATATTGGGACCTTTACTTTTCTCTCTCTCTCTATATATATATATCGGATTTTCATCAATATGTCCGTCATTGCACAATCCAACACTATGCCGATGATACTCAAATTTATTTTAGTTTTCAACAAAGATTTTAAAATAGCAGAAGCATTGCTCAACGAAGACTTAACGAGGCTAGTAGACGTCTCGTGCTCGCATAACCTAAAAATTAATCCATCTAAATCTTCAGTTATGGTTTTCGGCTCAAAAAACAAAAGAACATTGATCGAAGCGGAAATTAACCTTAAAATCTATGATTGCCGGCTTCCTATAAGGAATGAGTGTAAAAACCTGGGACTCTGGAATGACAGAGAACTAAAATACAAAAAACACGTAAATTCGTTATGTAGTGCATCATACTGCATTTTGAAGCAGTCTTATCCACATAGGCAAATAATATCTACTTCAGTAAAGCTGAAACTGTGTGAAACATTAATTATATCAAAGATCAGTTATTGTGACATTATACAGGGTGACTTTGAAGTTGAGTCATTAATTTTCAGATAATGATTGTAGAAGGAAGATAAACCAAAATATTTGTGTAAAAATAAAAAAAAAATAAAAAAAAACCTTGTTTTATAAAGTATCCTCCCGACAAGTATTTCAGTGCGGACCTGTATTTGATCGTGAGGTCTTGGAGCACCGGCATGCCGTCACCTGATTCACGAGCCCGTTGTACTACATTAACAAAGGCACGAGGGGTTGGTTGCACTCGATTGGGAAACCGATCCGCATAAACATGTGCCATTTTTTATTTCGTTTGAGCCACGCAACAGACACCACTATTCACTCACGCGTTACCGACTGACACTGACTGTATACAAATGAATAAAATAATTGTAAAAACATCGTTCCAAATTCTTTCGCTTTTTTGTTTCCGATGCGATGAACCGATAAGGCGGATTATATCCGTTGTCGCCAAACACGAGCACATAATATTATTATTGAGACAGGGCGGTACTCAAACTTCCAAAGGGCTAAAACTTTGTTACTTTAATTTTACCAGAAAAATGGTAAAGGAAAAAAACATTTCTTTTGATCAGATCTACTCACTGTTAAAATAAATGACTCAACTTCGAAGTCACCCTGTATATGTCCCCCCTCTATCACATACTGAATAAAGCAAATTACAGCGTAATCAAAATTCGTGCGTCAGATTTTTTTGCGGAATACGAAAGTTTGATCATATTTCTTATAAATTTGAGGAACTTGGTCTTCTGTAGATTAAAGGCATGCAAAAACTTTATTATTGACACTCACACATAAGATCTTAGCTACCAAACAACCACAATATTTGCATAATAAGTTAACACGATGTAGTGACATAAATCAACTGAATACAAGGAATAGAAATATGTTAGTGATACCCTTACATTCTAAAGCTGTCTACAAAAAATCATTCAGCTACAACGCAATTAAATTCTTTAATGATCTGCCTGTTACATTCCAAAACTATCCACTATTTAATTTTAAAAAGTAAAACTACAAAATACTAGAAATATGGTGTATTGTTGTAATTGTTCTGCTTTTTTTGTGTTGTTAATTATTTAGTAATTATTGAGAATTATAGATACATTTTTATTGGTAGAATGTTTGATTATATATATTTTTTTTGTTCTTTCAAAGGTTAAGTTGAAAAACGCTAATCTTAGAGACACTTCGCCTTTCTTGTATTTTTACTTAGGTACGAAATACGGCCCAATTATTAGTATTATTATTATTATTTTTATTATCACTTATGTCCTAACCGTTTTGGCACAAAATATTTATCGTGTTTATTTTTAATGAAGAAATTTATTTAAACATCAACTAGTTATCACAACTCAATACTTAACTAAACTATACTATCGAATTATGTGATCCATTCTGCTCTACCAGTCGCAACATTTTTCGAACGTCTCTCATGAGGTCCTGGACGGAATTGATATCAATTTCTTTGTTTCCTTGACAGTAAAGCCCAAAAATCATGTCAACTGACAGTACAGTAAGTAAACAAACTTTTGTTTCCGAAGGCAACTTGATATTATTTTGTGTTTGTTAAAATTAAAGTCAATGAATTTTGTGCCAAAACCTTCAGGACATACGTTATGAGAAACTCGCTGACTAAGGAATTTAACTTGATAGGAATTAAACAGAGTATCTTTTAGTGTACTTTGAGGAAACGATTGTAAATTTGCACCCTATTCTTATTTGGAAGTAGCGACTCTGAGCAGTTTTTGTAAGTCAAGAGCTTTCGAATTTAAATTTTGAAAATAGAACCGTATGTCGATGTTCCAGTGAAGCACCAGGTCTTACTAGTGTAGATGCCTGCACACGCAGTTGGAGTTGAGTGGGAGATTCTTTCCGGCAAGAAAGCAAGAGGAACTAATCACAATGAGAATCCTGAGCCACGCTGGATAATAATAATAATTATAATAATAATAACAAATAGCGTTTATTGTCCAACAGTTAAGGAAACCCTTTACAGGACAATCGTAAGATAAATCAAAATAACAAGAACAGAAAACACATAAAAAGCAGGTGATTTCATCTAAAGAAAAAGACAAACAAGAAAAAGAAGCAAAAAACATATTTCACTCAGGTGAATCATCCAAGCAATTTCTAGCTACTCCCAGAATGCTGTTCAAACTGTCAGCATGTATATCACAATAATTTTATATTGCAATGAAAGTTTCACACATCACATATATGGGTGCCTCCAAAAACAAATTTGTGCGAGCCGTGTCACAATAAAATGTTTTAGCTGTACGAGTTTGAATAGAAGGAACATTAAAGTTTATTTGAGCCACAATCCCATTAGCATCAATTTGATTGTGCAAGAACGTAACATTCTTACCAAAAAGTCACAAAATGGGTCAGTCGGGAACGTGAACGCAACATATCTTATAATACGCTTTTTGGGTCGCTGAAACCGAATCCATGGCCCATTCCGTCCGACAATGCCTCGTTTTCAAGATACTGGCAAGAAATCAACTTTGTCAAAAAACAACTAATAAAATATTTCTAAAAACCCTTGCGCGTCTATGATCGAGATGGAAACTTGTTTTCTGGGTAAATCGGGTGCGTAGATTCCAAATTCGATGTCGATACAACGCTAGAATTTACGGCTAGCCCGGAAAAGTAGTTTCTCGTCAACTTTTCACCCTAAATTCCGTCTGATAACACTTAAGAAATTTTTCGCTATGATATTCATATTTAGCGCCCCAAATTACCTCATTGTGCAAAGCTCCGCTCTCATGTAGCCATCGATAGTAAAAATGGATTTTTAGCACCTTAAAGTCGCAAAAAACGCCTAGTTTTGCAATTTTTCGCTAAGTAATTAGATCTACATCATAAACGGGGTCACATACATATAAAACGACCTCGGATTCGATATGGGCAGCCCAAAATACGTAATTGATGCACACTTCCTTCTCAGTTCTAAAGACTGCACTTGAAACCTAGACAATAACAAACTTTCAGATATACCATGTTCAGGATATATACCGTCAACTTTAAAAGTTAGAAATTTTAGAAACTTTCTCTGAACATGCTCAAGGGAATCAATGTAGCAGTTGTAAATTGGGTTCCAAATTGACGATGCATATTCCAATTTCGATCTAATATATGCAGAATAGAAAACCAACAGTGACTCTGGGCGGCTAAAGCTTCTACAGTTTCTCACAACAAAACCGTACGCCCCCGAAGCTTCCCTCACCTTTTGAGCTCTGTGGAGTAAAAAATTAAGTTTATGGTCAAAAACTACACCCAAATCCTTAATTGAGTTATAACGATTTAGGTAAGTATTCCCAATTTTATAATTCAATTTACAAGCAGAAGTGTTCCTGGAAAAGCTGACTACACTACACTTAGTCGCATTAAGAAATAAATTATTCTCGTTACACCAAGTCACTAGAGAACCAATATCACGCTGAAGTGCAATACAATCAGTCTCAGACTCAATACTCCTGAATAATTTTAAATCATCCGCAAAGAGGAGCTTATTAAAACTTAAATAATGCACAACATCATCAGTAAATAAGGTAAACAATAATGGACCAAAATTTGAGCCCTGAGGCACTCCCGATTTAGTTATATACTGGTACGACTTGAATCCATTAAAAGTTTTATATTGCTTCCTTTCATGCAGATAACTTTGAATGAGTGCTAAAGCTAATGAATGGAATCCATAATTTATTCAAAAGTATGCCATGGTCCACCCTATCGAACGCTTTAGCAAAATCGGTATAAACTATATCTAGTTGACCTTGCCGATCGACACATTCAATAGCGAACTGAGTGAAGATTGTTAAATAAGTTACTGTGGATCTCTTAGTAAGAAAACCATGCTGAAAAGTGGACATAGACCTATGAACTGCGGAGTAAATTCTATTATGCAATATTATCTCCAGCAATTTGGAGA